TCACATAAAGGTTGAAGATAACGTACCAGCGTTCTCATAATGAAAAAACAAACTTTTTCATTTGCTTGTTTATCTGTCTGTCTGCTTTATTAGGAACAATGCAATTGCAAATTTTAAAAGCCAAAATAGCTGAAAAATAGATACAAAAAAGAAAATAAAATGTTCACTTACTTATAAAAAACAGCATAACCAATAAAAAGGAGCCTATAAAATACTGATACAAAATTGAACGTCAAGCTCCCCATATCTATATAAAGAGGAGGAAAAAGAGCCAAGGAAATCCATCATAAGTGCTATTGAGTCGAGAATACTAGTACCTGGTACCTAAATAAATGAGAAATTTTGTGTTAATTAGTACATTTGGGTTTTCTACCTAACGATCCACAAGCTATAAACAATCCTAGCTGAACTTCAATATTCACATGCAGGAGTCTATGTAGGATACATTCTCCTCCATATTATGGACCCTTCAAAAGTAAATGTATGCTTGGCAACATTTGTGATTAGTTTGATCTTGTAAGCATCATGTTGCCAGAAATAGAAGGATGTTCTATTTCTGGCAACATGTTGCTTACAAGATCAAAGTAACCACACAAACTTGCTAGCAGCATGTAGTCTAGCTGCATGCCAATATGCACTGGTTAACATCATCAGCCTTAGTGGCACCAAGAGTGCATATTTACTTTGTACATAAATGTACAAAGTAACAAACATACATAATAAGTGCATAAAAATTTGGGGTAATTTTGAAGCCATTTTTTGGAAAAACCATGGGCTATAGCCTTGGGTATGTTTCAGATTTTTGGCACTTTCTTAAAATGGCCATAACTTGAAAAATTAAAGTCAGAATCAGCTCAAACTTTCTACACAGCATAAGGACATCAATGTGTATCAGAAAATGTAATAAAAATTTGGGGTAATTTTGGAGCCATTTTTTAGAAAAAACCATGGGCTATAGCCTTGGGTATTTTTCAGATTTTTGGCATTTTCTTAAAATGGCCGTAACTTAAAAATTAAAAGTCAGAATCAGCTCAAATTTTCTACATAGCGTAAGGACATCAATATGCATCAGAAAATGTAAGAAAAATTTGGGGTGATTTTGAAACCATTTTTTGAAAAAAAACATGGGCTATATATAGTACAGGGTATTTTAGAATTTTGGCAAATTGTTTTAAAATGGCCATAACTAGAAAAAAATTTAAGTTTAAATCAGCTCAAACTTTTTACACAGCATATTATAATGAAATCAATATGTGTCAGAAAATGTAATCGAAATTTAGGTTAATTTTTGAGCCATTTTTCAAAAAAACTATGGATATTTTTCAAAAAATTGGCTTATACACTGTAAAACTCATTATTGATGTCGGAATTGGTTCAAACTTTTAGGACATCAATGTGCATCAGAAAGTATAATGAAAAGTCTTTAGAACCATGTTCAACATAAGTAATGCAATCTGGGTCATATGAATGTAAAAATTAGTTGGGCGGGGTTATGCGTGCTAAGTATTTTCATTGCAAATTAAATGCATTCATTGCATACCGTAATAACTTTCAAAAAAAAAGTTAATTCTTTGGACTTCAGTTTTCCATTGACAGCAATGGAGAAACGATAGAAAAATGCTTGGTACCAGGAAACCGCTCTGACTACTAGACCCCATTAGATCCTCAGGATGCTTTCTAAGCTTCTGAAAAAGCCTCAAGAAGGTAGCAAGGCAAAAAAATGTGTTTTCCCCCATCTAGTCTGGGCTCGTCCCATCCCCCATTGAACTCTTAATAAATTTGACGTCCAACATGGCAGCCAATTTATTGTGTGGGTTGGTTATACAGTACTTAAAAGTTATGAATATACTTAGCACGCATTCTCTATTAAGCAGAACCTGGCTTTTACCAAGTGGAAAAAGCTCTTTGCAATGATTAGCTGCTCTAATGTAAATTATTTTAAAGAATAGAACACAGATAACCATGATAACCAGTTATCTGGCAGTACATCTTCTAAATGATCCCCCCTATAACTGGCCACATCTGACCTTAAGTACACAGACAATTAACACATGCACAGAATGTGGTTTACAAAATTACATAGCTATACAAACTAATTAAAATCACATACCAATTGAAAAACCTAACACTAAATAGTTTACCACAATACGGCAACTCCTTTGCCCACTAAAACTCTCATCAAACTAACAACTAGATCTAAGTTGCTTTCAACAAAGTTGATTAGGTTGTGGGGCATACATCAATGCAATCAGTGTACTTACTGCTGTTGTGAAGGACTCTGATTGCCTCATGAATCTGCAACAGTAGCGTCTTTCACGGAAAAGAGGATAATCCCTTCAATTCATCTGCAACTGAGTTTAGCGCTCAAACAATGGCATAAAAACTGCAGTTACTAGCAGCAGAACAATCAGTATCTTGAACTGTGCATTGATCAGTGATACACAATAGAATGACAACTGCAGCAGCAATAGTGGAAAAACCAGAAATCATCTTACAATATTAGTTTCAGCCTATGAAGTAAAAAATAAAAGAGAGCAAGAGGACGAGAGTGAGCTGGGAAACTGAAGAAAACAAAAAAACTGCAAAAAGTGTTTCTGTAACATAAAAAATAATTACACTTATAAAAATATATAGATCTATATAGACCAATGAATAAGATTTATATGTAATTATAAATTACCATAAGTAGAGTATCCCAGTTGTCTGTAGACTGCCAGAGCATTATTGTGTGACTATCACTGTATCACATATTATCACGAACAGTTCCCCAATCTCCATTAGTACATATTTCTAGTCTTCCAACATTTGGACCATTGCCATTCACTAGACATTCCTGACCATGCATGTGAGCAAACCTACAGAAGGTAACGCACAAAGCAACTAAATCTATATATCTACACCATTAAAAACATACAGCTTACCAAATACTGATAATATCCAAGCAGAAAGAAACAAAGCCAGGAGAAACATGTACTCATGTAGATACCAGTTGACTGACTATAACTTGAACCAAAGGGCTTTATAATTAAACTTTAATTAGCACGCAGGTCGCAGGTCATTAGTGGCCATGTGAGACTATTGATAGCAGGTCACTGGTATGAATAGTAAACAAAGACAGACTCTACAATGTCCCCACTATAGGAAATTATAAGTACATAAGTCCAGCATAATTGGCTATAGCTTTGAAATCATTGATATTGTTTTTAGCATGGCAGCTAAGCTATCACTCAAAAAGCTGTTTCACATTATACATTCTACAAAAAATATATTGATACTGATACATAGATCTAGTCACAAACAACATTATCTTTTACAGTACAAGTATTATTAATGTCAGTAAAATCAAGGTAGCCAGCCAATGGTTCAATGAGTGCATTTATTGAAGAAACTAAATCACTAAACATTGGCCTATCATTAGGAGACTCAGACCAACAAGATAGCATCAGCAAGTAACTGTGTTAAAAAAATCATAAATTATTAAAGGCATGTGTTTATTATGTTCTTACATTTCCTGTGAGCAGGCTCCATTATGTGGACACAGCAATCGTCCACCAGTATCTAGTAACTCCACTACTCCTATTGGATTCAGGCCAGGATATGGTACTTTACCAAGACTGAACACTTCCCAACAAAGAACACCATAAGACCACTGTAAATAAAAAAATTACATTGATAAATTAGTTATTGCATGATTGAGTGTAATGGCAAATGAATACTTACAACATCTGATTTTTCAGAGAACAGTCCATCATGAAGGCTCTCTAATGCCATCCATTTCACAGGTAGTTTAACTGTTGATGATCCTGAGTTATTATCACTGCACTTTAGCTGCCTGAAATAATTGCAGGTATATATGTCTTCAGATAGTCCAAAATCTGCTACTTTAATAATACCATTATCATCAATCCTATGAAATACATAAATGTAAACGAGACACCTACCATGCTTGGACTTGCCGCTGCTGATTTTGCATCAACAATGCATTGTTAAAACTGAGCGATGAATTGTTATTCATAGTAGAAAAAAGAAATGCATACAAAAACTAGTAAATCATAATTTTCATGAGCATGCAGCTATACCCATGCATTGACTCCATGGTTTAGTAGGCACATTGCACTCTATCATAATTTATAAAACAAATTACTACAGCTAGGAACATATTTTATTGCCTCTAGGGGTCAGGGCCCTAGGAAGCAACTACATTGTGTCCCTTCCCAAAATTTCCTTTTATTTTCTTGCTATTTTTATAAAGATTCCTACTTTAGCTTTTATAGTGACAGGATGTGATCATTCATTGTGAGTTGTACTCATTACATCAACCAGATCATGCAATCTTCGGAGTGGTCAGTAGTTTTGTGTAGCCAGACCCATCCCCTTTTTGACAATTGGTAAATTGCTAATTTTGATTGGCGAATTTGAACATAGCTCAAAATGACAGGTTTCTATTTTGGCAAATGGCTAGCAAAACGTCAAATTTAACTCCCTCCAAAATTTACCACTATAATGGTACTAAATTCTCCTATATAATTTCTGCAAAATTGATTACTAGTGAAATTAAGGTGATAGTGAAAATATTTCTTAAAATTGATGTTGAAAAGACTTACATGCAATTTCTAGCAGCAAGATCACAATGAATGAACCTCTGTGAAGCTAAGTAAGACATTCCATTGGCAACTTGTAAACAAATGGAGAGCAACTGTTTTCTGACATTCAGTATAATATCCTCTTCACTGGTATCAGCTACGGTAAGATTAGGCCTCTCTTTCTTGAGGTAAGACAATAAACTTCCTCTTGACATGAAAGGCATGATAATGTATGGAGCTGGTCCGAGATCAAGACACACACCAATCAGTGGTAATACATTTAAATTATTGAATGGCATCATTTTAATACATTCATCCAGTAATGAGTCAATGTCACTCTCTTTATAAAAACCTACAACAAAAGCAAATAAATTATTCGTATTATAAACTGATGTAACCATGCCAATATGTAACTGAGTCAAAATAGTTTATAGAGTAAAATTAGTAATTATTTTAATCATTGACAATATTATTACCTTTTAATGTCTTCATGGCAACTGGTTTAGGTATTTCATTCTTTATCGTCATCACTCCACGATAAACTATACCAAACTCACCTAAAGAGTACAAAATGAAAATTATTAGTGCTATGATAGTTAAAGAATCCCCAATTAAACCTTGTCCAATAGTTTCTTGCATGCTTATGGTGGACCCTGATACTATATAATTTGAGAGCCGTTCCATATTAATTGATAAAATCTCAATAGGTTTGCTAGAGTTGTAAGTGCTTTCTTTCATGTCTTCTGTCAAAACTAATTATTATAAAGAAAGTGAATTATTCAGAATATTAAAAGCAAAAATAGTATTCAGATTACTTACATGAAGAAGGAGTCGAACTTGGAATTTCTACCATTGCAAGTTGCTTTTTTTGTTTACGATTCCTTCTCTTCATAATCATATAGGTTACAAAGAGCATTACAGTTAACACTATACACACTACTAGAAATGTAACTATTCCTGATATGATGATAGACATTAGCTGATTTGAGACAGATGGTGTGTCAGTCGTAGACATAGTGGCACTAGTGGTTGTATTGGCCATGACTATAAAAAGAATAATTCCAATTAATAAAAAGAATAATAAAAAGAATAATTCCATTTAATAAAAAGAATAAGAAAAAGAATATAATTCCATTTAATAAAAGGAATAATAAAAAGAATATAATTCCATTTAATAAAAAGAATAATAAAAAGAATAATTCCATTTTCCATATAGCAATCATAAATTTATTTACTCTAATATCTATGTAGTAGTGGTGGGTGATATATCGATATTTTATCAATACAAACGATAAAGTATCAATTCATAATTATTGGTATCAAAATTTTGAAGGAATCTGGATTGATACATTGGCCATGCTTTCTTATGGTTAATCAATATATTAATAACAAAAATTTTAATAAGTTAATGACATATAATGTATACACGTAAATGAAGAAAATCGATGAAAACAGTCAATAATAAGAGGTGTGACTCCATAGGTGTGGTATCAATGTCATATCAAAACTGTATTGATACTCCCAATATGGGCTGATACCAATCAGTATCGTACCAAATCCATTTTGGCCAGTATCACCCACCACTACTATGTAGTAACTCAGCCCCACCTCTTTGTTGCACCACCGGCACCCCTGCAAAAAAAGAGGCGGGCCAGACTATCTTATAACTCACATTCTACTCCCATTTCTACTTGATAAAGTAGTAGAAAATAGCTTAAAGTAAGTTATTAATGAAGTCTTTGATGAATTAATTACAATGCTTTTAGAGGGGGAGGGGAAGGAGGAGGAGGGAGAGGGAAGTAGAGGAAATATTAGGGGTAAGAGCTTAATTTAGAGGAAGAGGAGGAATCACTTGTAACAGAGAAAGTGTAGAGGTCCATGGACGGTGCATTACTACTAGAGGAAATGAATCTACTAGTAGAAGTGGGTCATATGCAATACTAGAGGATCGAAGTGGAATATGCAATACTAGTGGAAATGATACTAGTGGAAGTGGGTCATGCATTAATACTAGTAGAAGTGGATGGTGCATTGGCAGTAGAGGAGGAACTTGAGGATGGTGTGGGTATATCTGCAGCATAAGGCAAAACTATAATAACTTAGAAATTGGTTGGTTAATGTAATCACTAATCAGAATAGTCAATGAATAATCATTACTATTAATTATTTTCATTGTTCATTCTAATACCAGTATTATGATTATTACTATCAATTATTACGGAACTAACCTGATGTATTTGTTGTTGTTGTTGTTCCAGGTATCAAACTGCAATCACTACCAGTGTAACCAACATTACAGGAGCACTGGTTTATATTATTGCACACTTAAAGTGAGGGAGGGAGGGAGGAAGAGGGAGAGGGAGAGAGATTATATTAAGTGAACTGTCAAGGATTATGGCATAATGCTCATGTATCTTTTTGTCAGTGGAGCTTAAACATTGGCCAAAACACCCTGCATGCACATACATAATAGTAACAAAAATCACAAGAAGAGAATTTTCAAATTTATAATTTTTTCTGCCCTGGTCAAAGATCAAATTTTTGTCAAAAATAGTTACAAAAATTCTTCATTTTTATGATATTTTCTGATGCACATACATGTCCTTATGTTTATCAACTTTGAGCTGATTTTGATCAAATTTGAATTTTTATGAATTTTAAAGCTGCTCAAAAATTGGAAAGACTATAGCCAAGTTTTGTCAAAAATGGCAATGAGAAAATTCTTCATTTTCATAATATTTTCTGATACATGTACATGTCTTTATGTTGTATATCGACTTTGAACTGATTATAATTTTTGAATTAATTTTTAAGGTGCTCCAAATCCATGTACCGTATTTCCTTAAATAAAAGCCTGGGCGTCAATTTTTTTAAAATGGTATTTGAACCTAAAAATTCAAAAATAAAATAAAACTTGGGCCAACAGTGACCTGATGCAAATGACTTAGGAACCTAAAATTAAGGAAGTATCTACAAGGCACCTATGTTATCTTAAGGCTAGATTTGCATATTTATAGTTCCATTTTATTGCTACCCCAGCGTTTATTTGCACTTGGCTTTTATTTCAGGATATACAGTATTGCACTTGTCAGCTTATGAAGCGCATGCTCTTTGCATGCATGCTTTGTGGGAAAATCTGAATGCACATGTATAGCAATGTTATCAATAACAGTATGAGAGAAGCTCTTACGCCATTTCCAGAGCATGTTTGTCCATTACTTCCAATAGGACAAGGGCTGACTCCCTCCAGTGATGAAAGTAATAAACAGCGCTGATTGACACACATCTAATCAAAATAAAAGAATCATTTAATAACAAGAAGAGGAAAAAAATTAAGCAAAAGGTTAAACTATAGGAGTTATGTTTGCAGGTAATGAATTTCACAATTTTTTGTTTTGTAGCTGTAGCAAAATGGCACAAGGTTATATTTGTAAAATTTTATATCACAAGTACAGTATAGCTAGGGGTTATACTTTACTGGAAATAAATTTTACTAATTTTGTGTTCTTTTTAAATTTGTAAATTAAATTCTACAAAAGAATTGTGGCATACTAGAAAAAATTGCTGCAGAAGGTAAAATTTAAAAAAATTAAGCCAACAAATAGCAAACTTGGACAAATTCACAAAATTTTATACTCATGAAATACAGCACTATGGAATAATAAATCTTTTCAGAGTATTGTAAAAATTATTTTAGCTTTGAGGTGAATCCTCAAAATTATAATTATTGACCCACAAAAGTTAAAGCTCTTTAAAATTTTTCATACCATGTCAGTTCCACAGCTAGCCCCATCAACCACTAAACCAGGACTGACTTCATCAGCATCAGCACGTGTAGTGACACTCCTACACTCTTGACCACTAGCAAATCTAGTATAAGCTGTCAAAGCACTCCTTGAATTAACATTATTAAATATTATTCTGCCGCCATTGCACTGGAGTGAACCACAGAATGCATTCCTATGAGTGGAAAAAAAGAATTGTTTCACTGCTACATGTACATTGCAAAAATTATATAGTATAAAGACATAAAGTAATCAAATCAGAGACTAATTAAGTTGTAGTGCATTATAGTTTACCCAGTAGTGCAAGGAATATAACTGGTACCATTAGCTCCACAGTGACCCCAGGCAATACCAAGAGTATTGAACTGTGTGTAGCATGCATCATTAGAAGGAACTGATTCTGTAGAGAGAAAGAGAGACAATGAACGAAAGAGGTTTAGGAAAATTTACTGACCACTTCCAAAATAACGGTTGCACTGATCCCATGCAGAGCCACATGTACCATCGTAACAATAACCCTGCAAAAATATTGAGAGAATATGAACATTACTTTATTAAACCACTAACATACAGTATTATTATCACAGGATATTCCATTCTGTTGTGTTAAATCTGTTGGGCACTAAAAATAAAACAATTATTTATTAATTTAGTTTATTTATTATTATTATTATTATTATTATTATTATTATTATTATTATTATTATTATTATTATTAATTATCCTTACATCAGCATTTTGACCAGTGCAATATTCTAGTATGTCACACATACCAGATGAATTACGACATGTAGTACCATATAACTTGAACTGTTAGTTATAAAAGACAATAATTATTTTCTATTAACAATGTAGTGTAATTACTTGGCAGTTTTCACAGCAAACTCCAGATCCACATTGGGCAGTACTGGCCAGTTCACATGTTGTGGCATTACAGCATGGATCATCACACTCCTGAAATTAATAACATACTTAAAGTTTAGCACACCAACACACACAGACATACACACAGACTTACAGCTAAACTTCCACAGTCACAAGTCTCTCCTGGTTCTCTTATTCCGTTGCCACACCTAGCAGTACCAACAATCTACAGAAAAAGAGAGAGAAATGAAAGGACAATAGATAGTACAACTAACAGTTGTTGGACTGTTTCCTAAGCAACGGTTGAGATCAGAATTGCCAGAGCCAGCGAAACCAGCATTCAATTCATTAATACTGCACTGTGACCAACTGGTGGCTGGAGGGAATCTGAGAGAAGAGAATGAATCATTGATTCTAAAATTAAATCAGTACCTTGAAATAGCATTCATAATGCAACCACCATTGGAATCAGAACAATTACAACCTAGTTATAATAATTTTAAAATAATGGCAATTACTGTAAACCTATTAATGTTCGCGGCTACTTTATTTAGCATTTATGCTTCAATGTCAAATTAGCAAAATATTAATGTTAAAAATTTTTTTTTAATATTTACTAATATTTTAAATATTTTATTAAATATTAAATTTAGTGTTTTTAGGTTCTTTGCAAGTATCGCTAAAATAAGTAGCACGCTAAAATTTATAGTTTTACAGTAATAGTTAATAAGTCCTTACTTGAGTCATCATCATGGTTCATACCAAAAGTATGTCCCATTTCATGTGCAGCAATGGTAGCCACTGATGCAACACTACCTCTTGTATCCTATAAAATAATAAGTTATCCTTCTAAGTGAACAAGAAAATTAATTGACTGTGGGTTTTTGATTATGGAAGAGAGGGGGAGCAATGATAACAATCATAAGTAATAAAATTAGTTATACACACAGTTTCAGTCAGCACAGTCCCACATGATTCTTAAAATAAACACAATCACCAACTAACTTGAGTTAATCCAACAGATGAATCAAAATTGCACATTGTGCCAACATAAGCTATACCTACTGCATTATTATCCAGATCAATACCACTGTGAATAAATGATATAAATTATCATTATTTGTAATAAAAGAGACTCACGTGATCAATTGGGCGCTATCATGAGTGATGGATCGGAATGCAGTGGTGCTAGTGTGGTATTGACGGAACAGTGTCAGTAGAGTGTTTGGTACTGAACTGAATGATATCCCTTGTTGTGTTGTCCATGTCAACGAATAAACAATCACAACACGAACATTAATAGACTGATACAACTAGAGGGAGAATTAAATGAATATACAAATAGAAGAATAGGAATATGATTCAAGTGAGAGAATGAAAGATGAGATGAAGGAGTATACTAGTCATTAGTAGTGATACTTACCATGTCAACGTGACTAAATATTTCTATTGCCCTCAATACAACTGCACTGATGTTCCTTCCATAAGCAATGTACTGTATAAACAATAGCATAATATTTGGATTCTAGCGACACAACAAAATTGTTATTACATTTTTAATGTCCATGCACATGCATTGGTTAGCTATTTACTGTTAGTGTATTACAACCATTGTCATCAACACACTATGGATTATATTAATAACAATGAAACAGTAGTGGTATTGTACACTCCTTCACAATCCCAACAGTAATACAATGCCCTATACCATTGTTAAAAATTATTTTAGCTGTACAAAGTATAATACCAGTAGCTAAAAATAACAATGTTTTATTTTCTTTTATTTAATTAATCTTACCTGATAGTTATCATTGACTATCAATACTTCCACAATGTTAGAAGCCCCACCAGACTGTTTCCTCAACTAGAGGTCACACAGATACACACATGACAATTACCATATAAGGCATAATGTTCACGGGATGCAAATTTTGCAAAATTTACTAAAATTCAAATTTGCAGATTTTAATTTCGCAAATTCCACCATGTGTACCATGCGGGTATCATATTAAATTTAAATTTGCAGATTTTATTTTCACAAATTTACTTTATCAACGAAATTTGCATCCCACGAACATTATGCCCTATACAGTACATGACTATTAAAATGATAAATACCCTATGGAGAGAACTGCCAGCTCCTGAAGGAAGTTTGAATCTATCTACTGAGATATTTCCATGAGGAGTACCTGAATGGGAAAAAGAATGATGACATAATGTACACAAATACCATGAATATCCTCCATTCTAAGTAAAAGTAATGAAATAATTTCTAATTTACATTTAAGTAGTGTTATTTAACTTATTTCAGGCAGTGGCAGATCATATTATAAGTGAATTTGTGTACCACATGATTCATGTGCAAAAAAATGGGTCCGGAGAAAGGTGGCTCACCACAGACAAAATTTTGAAGTTTTTTCTTGTTCTCTGTGTCTTTATAAAGTACATGAGTATTGGCCAGGATCTTAAAAGAGAAAGGAAATGACAAAAAATATTATTATTATTAACAGTTTAGTGTATGACAGCTAGTGTGTCAGTATTTACACTTACATCCTCTTCTGGACTGACATGTAAGTGATCCTCAGTGAGTGGCTCCAGATGATATAAAGAGTTTTCATTATTCAAATCACCAAACCAGCCTCTGTAAAGAGAGACAGGAAAAAGAGAGAGAGAGGAGGGAATCAATGAAAGAGACATGTGTTAGTAAGTTTAGTCTATGTCATTTAGTCTAGACAACATGAATCATTATTGCTATACTACACTGTGATATCACCAACAGTCATAAGTCAATTAAAATATAAAAAACACACACACATATACAATGTCTGCTTCACTCCACACCTCAAATGAATGAAATAAAACATTACATATATTTATGTATACATATACTTGTGGGGTAGTTTTCATAAAAGGAATATGAGTGGAACCCTACACCACTATATACACTATTTGTTTCATATCAATACAACCATGCTTAAGTATTAATTAGCACACTATACTTCCCGTCACACCACTCACCACACCAGACCAGCTAGTACATATAAGTATAATATCAGTAATACTTATAACTGTTAGTATAACTCTAGACCCTTTCACGGTCATCTTAATAACACGTGTTATTACTGTAACCACATTAATTATTGCTAATACATGCACACTATTATGTAACATTGTGTAACTAAGAACCTAGACTGTGTGGTTTTATGTATATGCATCATGCTTCTTATTGATTTTTGTCAGTTGCTTAGTTTTTGTTTATTCAGTTGTTGTTTACAGTAAAATAATCTAACAATAACATTGGTAACAATTGGTAACCCTGCACCAGTCCATTAAGACTATAAAAAACTATACTTTTTTTTAATCAAAATAATAATAAAATCTTTGATTGAATTGTGGGTGGCTTATAACATCATTGTGGGTGGGTTAAAGCATTGTTGTGGGCGGCTTAGATCACTTTTGCTGTGGTCTTGTTCGGTTATAGTGCACAAGGTACCTTTGATGTGCATCATCACTAGGATATAATAGTAGTAATGAAATATTTGCATGTATATAAATCCATAAAAGTAAAAAAAAGCTGTTACAGTGTAACTATCTCTTTTTTATTTGGTAAGAGTTCAAGGTGTTTATCATTATGCATAGAGTTCATTATAAAGTTTAACACTTATTCAATTTCCTAGAGTGACTGTACTGTAGCGGGGGCATTCCTGGAGAATAGGCCCAAATCTTGGCCCAAATTCAATTTCTGCAAAATTCTTCAGACTTTTTCTTCTTCTTTATTCATTTCTCCTATTTACAACCCATCAAGATGTTATGTAAGATTGCACAAATTGTATATTAGCAAGTTATCTCCAGATTTGCCATCAAATTCATTCTATTTTGAACCTCTTCAAAATTTTTCTCTTGATGGTGTGTGGTATTCAAAACAGCTGATTGGACACAGTACTCTAACAAAAATGATGGCTAATTTGTGCTCAAAGGCTGAAATAAGTGGCTTCAAAACAAACTACTCACTCAGAGCAACTGCTGCAAGCAGGCTCTGTCACAATGGAATCAATGAACAACTGATAATGGAAAGTACAGGACACAAAAGCATTGATGGAGTTTGGTTGTATAAGAGAACCAGTGAGGAACAACAAGTAGAAATATCGAAAGTATTACATCAAAGTGCCCCACTGACTACACCAACAGAAGACAAAGAAAATGACCAAACAAAGGGATCAATTCTTTCTGGATTACAACTACGTAATAGTACCAATATAAATAAAAAACAACTAAAATTATAGTTGCAAATTATAAAAATCATCATTAAATTTAATCATCAATCAAAACAATGAGTATTCCAATGGATTTAATAAGAAACTCAGGAGGTTAAAACTACTAAGGCAAAATAAATATTGCCTTGCAAGCATATAATAGCATGCAACTATGCTTAATTCAGCATAAACAAACACCATGATTAATTATCTTCCTTACCCCTCCCTCTCTCTCTTACCTTAATCCATGACATGTACTGATGACAGCTTGCCACTTTGGATGTCCATTGACTTTTCCTTGATAGAAGCAATTGGGATGAGTCTGAATGCAAGAGAGAAAGGGAAAGAGAGAGCGGATTGAGGAATATTAAGTTGAATGTGTTTTTGCTATTTGTTGTAGACTACACATACTTCAGATACTTGGATTTTATCTGAGTTGGTGTATACAGAAGCAAAATGAGGTGCAATAAGATTCCTACATAGAAAGAGAGATGCAAGTGAGAGGGAGTGATAATTAACATGTGCATGAGAAATATTTGCAGAGCACTTGCTTGTTGAGCTCTAGCTGCAGAGCAAACAACTGTATTGAGCCTTGCTTAACAGAAACGCTTAGTGTGCTAGGGTGCTCTCCTAATCTCTGTACATAAAGACTCATTACAATACAATTTAAACGAGAAGGTGCGGTATAAAAGGCGGGGCCCTGGGCATGGTGGCTTCCGTTTTATTCACGTGTAAAAATGTCGGCTCTAGATGGTGTTGCTTCTTCAAGGAAAAACGCAGGAAGAAAGGGGTTTTGGTACCAAATGGACTTCCATTTTACTCTCAAAGAAGACAAGGACCAGTTCTAGTTAGGCTTGATCGAGTTAAGGGGTCTTTAGGCACTAAAAAAAGGCGCTGGAACTGCTGTCTCATTTACTCGCCGATTTAGTTTAAAAAGAGAATCATTCTGAGGCTCTATCACATGATACTAGTAGTTCTTCTGCTATGCTCAATACTTCAGGTAGTTATAATGTGTTTAAATTAGTGATTATATATAAATAAGCTATGGGTGATGGGGACGAAAAGCAGCCATTTTGTGCATAGATATAGGATCGGCTGTTGGGAAACATACATTAGTGTTAGTGTGGTATGGTTGACCGAAGGATGATCAGTTACAGACAGGTATTCTTTGTTAGTATTATTATTATTATTACTATTATTATCAACATCATCAAAACTATTCATAATTTTAGATCGTCATGTGATTTGTGCTGAATTTCGATTCAATCCCAGTTGTGAGTCCTGTAATCGTAACTCAAGTTTATTAGTTACTAGATACAGAAGTAAGTATTATTTGTAATGTAAAGTAATCATATGGTGGCATTAATATTTTTAGGCTCGTACTAGCATTTTTTTTGTGCTGGTATATTACCATCACAGTACTGCCATATTTTTGTCGGCATCACTGGGCACAGTTGGGAAGAGGTACACAGATACAGGAGGCTCCTCACAATCCCAATATCTATTCAACCCTATATACATGATGTTTATATTTTTAAAAATTTAGAATAATATTTTTGTATTTACTTCTTCCAGTAGATCGTTGAATGTTACAACTGCTACCAGTACTAGGATCTGAATGAGGACCATGTTGGGGTCTTTTGCTGGAACCACTTATACTTGATGATGGTGGCTGATATATGGTAGTCGGCAGGGCTGTCTGGTCCCAGTGGTGGCGGTTCTTGGGCTGGTTTTCTGTGTAGTAGTGAGGGCTATTCCCTTGCCACTATCACTTATTACCTGCCTGACAGCATCATTGCCCGTGTTTCTTAGGCTGTTGGCAGATTTTTCAGAATATATATACAATATAATATTTGATAATAATGTAAAATTATTACTTCAAGTCAATTATACCATTTCTCTCCTTGCTATGCTTTCTAGGTGTGCTTGTAGGTTAACTCTCTCACCTTTGCTAATTTTAATGTTTTTATAATGCGTTTTGCTAGTGATTTAGCCATGATAAGAACAGTGCCAGTGCGGGAGCCATTTTGTTATTTTCAAATTTCATTCAATCTGGCCGCCATATTGTGCCCAGGGCACCTCCTTTTATACTGTGATCGTCGGAAGCGATTTCATGACGTTGCGTGAATGGTTTTATAGTGCACCTTCTTGTTTAAGCAACTTGTTTACTCTATTAGAACTCCTGCTGCTTATCTCCAGATTAACGAGCTCGTAATTGTGTATGATTTCTGCATGGAGAAACATAGTCAATAGAAAGAGTGAGAGAGCGCTCTAGGGATATAAAATGGCTGGCTTACCGTCTGGGGACTTAACACTTCTAAAGGGAGTGCTCCTAGAGCTGCTGTAAGCCATAAAAAGAAGAAAAAGAAATAAGACTCGATCCATGTCTGTTGTCACTTGTCACTAGTTGATAGCCAATAATTGACCACAACTCACAAGCAGCGATTAATTAGCGAAGAGGTACGCCCACACACTGTGATTGCTTGCTAACCCTCACGTGAAGTGAAGAAAATTAGCAGCTAAAATGAACTGTTTTGATATAATAAAGAAAATAATAAACATTATATATATGTGTGTGTGTATTATATATCATACTAAACAGGTCTATATGCAAAAATATAGACCTGAGGTGGGTGTCCAAGGATGTGATATATCCCAAGGGCCGCAGGCCCGAGGGCTATATCACATCCAAGGACACCCACCAAAGGTAAGGTCTATATCTTTTGTATATAGACTGGTTTTAGTATGTTGTATAAGATATATTTTATAATGATGACAACATTTCTGAATCGCAGGTATATATACAAAAATATAAACCCGACCACATCAAAGGATGATGTCATAATTATGATATATCAATTAGAGGCCCTTCCAAATTTCTACTACAGTACATCCCACTCTCTCTTATGTAGTGACTTATTACAAACATCTCTACACTATAGAGTACATGCACCAATTGTGAGACACTTAAGATATTTTAATTTTCAAATTTTATAAATGAAATTACAGGCAGTGTCCCATAATACATACCGTCTCATAATACCAGAATTTACTTTATATAACATGTGAAGTAGCGATGTCCATGGTGACACAAAAACATAAAATTTAATTATATACCCTATTGAACACATGAAAAATGATTTTTGAATAGTCAATGAAGAGGAGATAGAAGTCTCACATTCTTCAGTTTTGCTTTGTTATGTTTTTACTATAACTGGCACCTGGGCCTGTTTGTCTGCCAAAAATTATAGTAACACCTGCAGACCTGCCAGTAGTAAGTATAATATTAATAATATCTGAAATAAAGCTGCAGCACGTTTTAAAAGTAGTAGTTGTACACAAACACTCATCACGGGTAACCTACAGTAAAAGGATTGTTCAGTATTAGTTCTATACAGTAAGTCAAGAAAAGATCGATTCCTGTTCTTATTTTAAGCTGATAGGATGCTTCATTCTTACTAGCATTGCTACTGCACAAGAAACACAATGTATGTCATAAAATAACAATAATAATAATGTTTCTTATCCTGTTTCATGTAGTATATTTATGAATAAAGCAACAAGCACAAAACCACAAAAATTTCTACACTTAGGTAGTTAGTACATTTGGGTTTTGTACACAACGACCCACAAACTCACATGCAGGAGTTTATGTAGGATACACTCTCCTCCACATTATGGACTACAAGTAGCCTTCAAAGGTAAATGCAAGATAGACAACATTTGTGGTTAGTTTGATCTTGTAAGCATCATGTTGCCAGAAATAGAAGGATGTTCTATTTCTGGCAACATGATGCTTACAAGATCAAAGTAAAGAGCAGCATGTAACCTAGCTGCATGCATGCCAATATGCACTGGTTAACATCATCAGCCTTAGTGGCACCAAGAGTACATATTTGCTTTATGCATAAATGTAAATGCATTAAAACTTAACATTAGATTTGACTCTAATTCACTAACATACACAAGAGCAGTAGCTGCATACCAAGCACCTCCACCGCTTGGTTCCAAAGCCTAGTTAATTAAGGCTGATTCACACTTGCAACTTAACTTAAGGTAAGGCCTTAAGTTAAGACAGGAATTAGACTTGTGGGGCTAGACATAAGTTTTAGAATAGATTCTCTTGATATCAACTTGCAATGTTTTGATTTGCATGGGCAAAGAATTGTATCAAATTCACACACACGAGTCTAGGAAATAATTGGACTCATTCTCTTCCACATTATGGACTACAATAAAAGTAAATGAAGTAATCAATGATCTTTGACAATAATTCAAAGAAAATTAATTAGCTGCATGCCAATATGTGCTGATTGACATCATCAGCCTTAGTGGCACCAAAAGTACATGTTTACTTTATACACAAATGTACATCCACTACAGATTAATTAAATAACATTGTCTTATGGTAATAAACAATTCTTTTTCTCCTCATTTTCTCTACAATAAAACTCTAAGACAAAATTTTACCTGACTACTTGACAAAAATTAACTACTTAAATATTTCACTACCATGATAAAAAAGACCAAAAAATAAAAATAAATCAGTCATGGCATGGAGCTGGTACATGTTCACCATTCATCCTTAGAACTTCACATGACATTTTAAGAAGTTTGAGTTTAAATATGCCAGAGCAATCTATAAAAGATACACAAGTTATAGAAAACAGATCATTCAACATAGCAGCACATATGCATGGTACATTACATTATTGTCCATTCTCAAACACCTGGTATAAATTATTAACAGGCTGCAGTTTAAAAAATTTTAAAAGCATGGGAGTTGTGGTAACAATTAATAATAACAGCTTAAAAACTGCAGCTAGTTGTGGGAAGCAAAAAACAATAATGATACTAAGCAGTAGAACTGCCTATAAAAATACCTAAAGTCATCACAATACAGGTTATCAAACAGAGCAAAGCAATCATTTTTCCTAAATTTGATATCAGTTACTCTTACCAGGTCTTGGTGAAGTAGTATCACCAAAAGTAGTATTTAATGCAAATGAATTGATATCATTCAATCCAACAACAGACAAGTACACATTAGGCAATGATGTCTGCCACTTTCTACGACTTCCATCATCATCATCATCATCATCATCATCAGTAGTAGTTGACTGTATATGTAATTGTGGACTAATGAAATAATCAATGTCATTTGCTCATGACAGAGAAATCTGGTAGCACATCTGGGTTTTGTACAGTAAACGATCCACAATCCACCAAATTTCCCTATGTAACGTTTACTTTTAGTGTCATTCCCATTGATGGAAACTCATACTGTAACAAACAAGATGACCCTTTTGAAGAGTAGTGGCAATCTCTTTTCCAGCCTCTGATTATTTCTATTATTATTGATACTGTTGAAGCTATAATAACATTAATTTAGTATAAATTTACATTATTAAAAATCAATGACTTACATGCACATGTTGATAAACATAATTGTATCAAAGAAAGTATTCATAGATCACTGTTAGTCCCTGGATACTTCTCATGTGACATTGATAATGTAATTCAATTGCAGTTACACATACACCCACTTTTCTTGGGCTCTGGATGTACACCCATTTTTCATATGGGTACATTAAGTTAATCTGACCTGCTATTGAAAAACTTGTTTGTTTTTAAATTTGTGAAAGTTATTAACTACTGTACTTTGCAACACCCTTTCCGACTCTATGTTGGTGAACATTATTATTAAGGGCATTAGCTTCAACCTATAAAATAGACAGCTA